TAAAACACTAATATACTGGAAAGTGACATAAAAGGATACATCTTAACAATAATGGAGCTTCATATGGGAAACAGAAGTTGATGAATGTTATAGGACAAGTTTTCAAAGAGGCTTTGTTTTTGTTTTGTTTTTTGCACACAAGGATGATTAATGTACAAATGACCAACTTCATCTGCAGGCATAGGCAGCACAAATATTTTGTACATATGGGCTAAGCTTTTTAGAGGAGCCTAAGGAAGTTAGTTGCTGAACTTCCATTAAATGTCTATGGATTTGGGCACGTTATACTCCTTTAAAAATCCCATAAATATATTCTACCATTTGCACACATAAGTAATAACATGTGAAAACTGCACATGCAAAGGAGCATGCACGTAAACAGATACCCCATGTTGAATACTTGGCCACATAAATACAGTATACATATGCAAATATATACACACACATACACACACACAAGTACAACTATAGGAGTGTATTTAAACAGTACCAACTATTTTGAAAAATGTTACCTCAAAGATCTTCCACGTTTTATATACATATATGAGGATACTGTTGTCAAAGAGTATTTATAGCTGGATTATACATGTCTACTTTCTATGCAGATGCTATTCCAGTCTCAGTGAAAACATCTCTAATTGTTTCAAGGGATGTTCAGGACTCCAATATATTTGTATTCTGTCATTAGGGGCTGATGAAAATATTACAGTGAGTTTACTGCTAGAACTAAAACAACATATTCCGAATAAGAAAACAATGTATATTTTTCCAATATTGCCAACGGTACACAAAAAAAACCATTTTGTGAAAATAAAAACTAAGCGATGACACCAAATAATCTTTCGACTTTGACGATGGTTAAATATTTTTGGACTTTATGACTGAGTGTACAATGGTTAAGAAAATCCAGTACTATGCAATTACATTAATAATACATAAATAAACATTGAAAGGTTAGATGAAAGAATTTACAAAGCTATGCTGAACTCATATGACACCAATAATATAGCAAAACCATAAACAAGGTCTTGCAGGCTTATCCTATTTTGATTTTAAAATTCTTTCTATTTGGAGCTGATTAGGCAGCTGAGAAGACAGTGGCTACTTCTGCATTTCTAAGTTCTTAGTAAGGGAAACCTCCCATTAACTTCAAGGGGAGATTTTTCCTGAGTAAGATCTGCATGACTGAGTCCTTAAAGATTTCTGAAGCAAGCAGCCAAAATAAATTCATAACACTATCCCAATATTCAACTTAGAGAGTGACACCTGGTTCCTTACATTCCTACACTCAGCTCTCTCTCAAGTTTGAGTAAAGTATCATACAACATCCTGACAACCCAGAAGTTGCTCCACAGAAAAATGGTAACTTAAACATGTGTCTAGGCACACAGGTTAAACCTATACTTGTTCGGATAAACAACTAAGGTGAGTGCAACATTCCATTACTGCACTAGAAGACAGTTGTTTTACTGGAAGATTATTAATTATGAACCATATTCAGAGTTTGCTTACATTAGGAGGCTTGAGTGTAATACACTGGACACAATGTGGTTCCACTACATGAGAAGAAGACAAAGACATGAAGAATCTCCAGAAAGGGACTCAAGATGAAATATCAGATGCAAGTTTCCAAAGGCAAACACAAAGGAGGGAAGCAAAGGCATATCACCCACAAACAAGGCCATGCTTAGCACTCACAGAGCAAGATTCGGGATGGACACAACCCCAAACAGTGGAGGGCCAAAAGGTCATGTCTGGTAAATTCGAATATGCCCAACGGAAGTCAACAGCAAGCCAGCTCCCAGTATGTAGTTGCATGCTATGGATGAAGAGAACTCGCAGTCATGCTGTTCCATAGCATATTTTAAGATCAACAAAGGCTTTTCATTCTGGCTTTATTCTCTTTGTCAGGATCACATTTCATTTTTACAGGCAGTTTGTGTATTCTAGGAAGGGTATTTTGGTAACTCACTCATGATACACAAGTGACTCATTTGCTGTTAAAAGTCAGAGTGACTTAACTAACTTCTGGCATTTCAGTGTACGAAACCTGAACATCTAGGTGTTTGTAAATATATCTTTTTCAAAAGAGGGGAAGCTCCATGTGCAAATCTAGTATTTGTGTTCCCAAACTATCAATTATTTGCTTCACTGGATATCTGAGTGCACAAATACTTGATTTGCACATACAGTCACAGTAACTGCATGCCTTAATGAAGTCTTTGCTTCATGTCTTTGCTTCAGTCTTCACAGCTGAGGATGTTACGGAGATTCCCAAACCTGAGCTGTCCTTTGTAGGTGACAAATCTGAGGAATTGTCACAGATTGAAGTGTTATTAGAGGAGGTTTTGAAATTAATTGATAAACTTAACAATAACAAGTCACCGGGACCAGATGGCATTTACCCAAGAGTTCTGAAAGTACTCAAATGTGAAATTGCGGAACTATTAACTATGGTTTGTAACCTGTCCTTTAAATCAGCTTCTGTACCCAATGACTAGAAGATAGTTAATGTACAGCCAATATTTAAAAAGGGCTCCAGAGGTGATCCTGGCAATTACAGACCAGTAAGTCTAACGTCAGTACTGGGCAAATTAGTTGAAACAATAGTAAAGAATAAAATTGTCAGACACATAGAAGAACATAAATTGTTGGGCAAAAGTCAACATGGTCTCTGTAAAGGGAAATCATGTCTTACTAATCTATTAGAGTTCTTTGAAGGGGTCAACTAACATGTGGACAAGGGGGATCCAGTGGACATAGTGTACTTAGATTTCCAGAAAGCCTTTGACAAGGTCCCTCACCAAAGGCTCTTACGTAAATTAACTTGTCATAGAATAAGAGGGAAGATCCTTTCATGGATTGAGAACTGGTTCAAAGACAGGGAACAAAGGGTAGGAATAAATGGTAAATTTTCAGAATGGAGAGGGATAACTAGTGGTGTTCCCCCAGAGTCAGTCCTAGGACCGATCCTAGTCAACTTATTCATAAATGATCTGGAGAAAGGGGTGAGGTGGCAAAGTTTGCAGACAATACAAAACTGCTCAAGATAGTTAAAACCAAAGCAGACTGTGAAGGACTTCAAAAAGATCTCACAAAACTAAGTGATTGGGCAACAAAATGGCAAATGAAATTTAATGTGGATAAATGTAAAGTAATGCACATTGGAAAAAATAACCCCAACTATACATACAATATGATGGGGGCTAATTTAGCTACAACTAATCAGGAAAGAGATCTTGGAGTCATCGTGGATAATTCTCTGAAGACGTCCACGCAGTGTGCAGCGGCAGTCAAAAAAGCAAACAGGATGTTAGGAATCATTAAAAAAGGGATAGCGAATAAGATGGAGACTATCTTATTACCCTTATATAAATCCATGGTATGCCCACATCTTGAATACTGTGTTCAGATGTGATCGCCTCAAAAAAGATATACTGGCACTAGAAAAGGTTCAGAGAAGGACAACTAAAATGATTAGGGGTTTGGAACAGGTCCCATATGAGGAGAGATTAAAGAGGCTAAGACTTTTCAACTTGGAAAAGAGGAGACTAAGGGGGGATATGATAGAGGTATATAAAATCATGAGTGATGTGGAGAAAATAAATATGGAAAAGTCATTTACTTGTTCCCATAATATAAGAACTAGGGGCCACCAAATGAAATTAATGGGCAGCAGGTTTAAAACAAATAAAAGGAAGTAGATCTTCACACAGCACCCAGTCAACCTATGGAACTCCTTGCCTGAGGAGGTTGTGAAAGCTAGGACTATAACAGGGTTTAAAAGAGAACTAGATAAATTCATGGAGGTTAAGTCTATTAATGGCTATTAGCCAGGATGGGTAAGGAATGGTGTCCCTAGCCTCTGTCAGAGGGTGGAGATGGATGGCAGGAGAGAGATCACTTGATCATTACCTGTTAGGTTCACTCCCTCTGGGGCACCTGGCATTGGCCACTGTCGGCAGACCGGATACTGGGCTGGATGGACCTTTGGTCTGACCCAGTATGGCCATTCTTATGTTCTTACACAACCGTGCACAAGCCTGAGTTTCTGCCTTTTAGAAGATTAGGCCCTTACTACAGTTCTAAGTTTCTCCGCTCTCTTCCATGCCCCAATCCTCTTGTCCCAAAATTTGGATTTAACTGTGACAGGAAGTTTAAAATTTGTGACCATAAACAAATACATTCATTTCCTGTCAGTGTATTAAGTATTCTTTATGTATTAGTTTTGTGTACTATATATTTTTTACTTCTATACCAATAAAAACACAATAAAATTATCAAATGATCAACTGTTATCCTAAGACAGACAAAGCACAGAAGACTAGTTTTCTCCAATGCTGTCCAACCATTTTACAATACTAATCATGGCATCTTGTAATATAAGGGCCAGTCCCACATATACTTATTACTGAGCAAAATGCTTACAATTGTAAGAAGTTCTTTTAAAGTCAACAGAAGCATGAATTACACTTGATCAAAAGCATTTGTAGGTTCAGGCCCTAACATAAAGATAGTGGAACAATAGGTAACACACAGAGCACTTAAAAAGCTCACTTTTTTAATAGGAGGAAAGAAGCAAACATGTTTAACGCTAATGTCCTCTATACCCTACTTAAATTACACAATATTTAAGGACCCATATACTGTGCATTTTATCTACTTTCATGTCATTCATTCATCGCTTCATATACATTGTTACAGCATGTACTCAACCAGATTCTTGGTTGGTGAGCTGAATTATCTTCAATGGAGTTATTCTGATTTCTGATTTACACCAGTTTACAACATACTTTGTGTAATTTAAGTAGAGTACAGGATTTTAAAGAGTCAAACCTATGACATACATTATATATAAAATTTCCTTACTGATTTTTTTAATTTCTTGGCTGGTCAATAGAATTTGTCCTTACAGAACAAAAAAGAAATATTGTAATATTTGTGTCCTAATAATTATTGTTTTAAACTACTAGTTCCACTTAAACTAGAATAATTGCTACCTTTTGAGGGGCCAAAATCCTCTGCCTGAACTTTTCAATTGTATCTTGACCTGCAGCAGTCCATGCACTGACAAATGCTTCTGCTTTGTCTTGATCAAGGTGAATGCTCTCCAGCTGCTGTTGCAGAATAGCTGGTTTCAGGTTATGATACACTGCCTGTATAGCAGAAAAAACAAGTTAAATCTACTTTGGTACATGCAACTTTAGTACTTGATTAAGAAAAGCACTTTTCTAAATAGGGATGCTCTTCTCTATAGAGGTCTAAATGGTTCGTTTTTTCAGTCGAAAATAAAGTACTCTATTAATGCAAAACAAAAACATGTTACATGATTACTATGACCCTGGGAGCCACGTAATGCCAGTTGACAAAGGACCCACCATACTGTATCTCACATCAGGCCTGACCCACTCATTACATCCAACACACTGTTGTCATAATATTATCTAAAATGTGTCACATACGATATCTTATGTAAACAGCTGACCCACAGGTACCAAACATCATTGTGTGGTATACATACATGTTGTGTGTGAGCTGTATTTGGGAGGCAGTGCATAAATCCAGCTTGTCCTAGACAAAGGAATGTGTATTTACCTGTCTGACTGGCTTGATTCCAGGCAGAGGACAACTGAAGTATATTTACATTAAAGTGAACAAAGCCATCAAGCTAACAAGCAGGGGAGAAGACAATATAGTAATCACATCTGGGGGACAGAATCTGCACCCCAGGAAGCCTTCCTGGCTCTTGAGGCAGAGAAAATGGACATTGGAAAATATAAGGAGAGCAAAAAGCCATTGGAGTTATCTATCGCTTTGGGGACATAAGGTACAGCAACCTCTGAGCCTGTGAAAATTGGATCGCCTACTTCAGAGGCTAAGGATGTTGGTAACTTGATGGAAGTAAGTAAACTGCTTAGGCAAAGATTGCAACTTGCTAAAATTAAGTTTTAGTCACTAGAAAACATGTTTTATTTTGTTTTGCTTGTAACCAAACCTGTCTCTTTTTCTCTTGCTTAGCATCACTTAAAATTCTGTTCTTTGTTAATAAACTTATTCTTGTTTTACTACAAAACCATCTCATTGCTGTGTATTAAAGTGAAGTGTGAGTCTTCAGCTAACCTAACCAGGTGATGCGTTCTGTTTCTTTGGCGGCAGAAACATAGTAACTTAATTACTATGAGTGTCCAGTGAGAGGGAATGGACACTGCAAGGAGATATCTCTGGGGGAATTCAGGTTCACTGATTGTTACCTGCAAGGCAAGGTTTGGACTGGCAGAGTCTTGAAGAGTTTGCTGGCTAGGCAGACAGGCTGGTATGCCAGGGAGCTGACAGACAGCTTGGCAGTAGCAAAGCTCTCACTCTTTCTGGGGCATAGGGATGACACAGTAGAGCTCAGTTCTGGTTGTCTTGAGCAGAACATCACAATTACATTTTTTCAAAACTATTATTTTCCACAGGTAGATATTATTATTAAGCAATGCAAAAGTTACAATGGCCAACATATCTTTCCATCCATTAAAAATAAGTGTTCTGTTCTTTATGGCCTAGTATACCACCTTGGCACTTCTTCATGGAAACAAAAAAGAAAGTGAAGCCAAAACCTATTTTTAACATTTTCTGTCTTTCTTTCCCAAACTGACCTTTTCCTAAGATTTTATTATTTTTTATATGAGTAAAGCACAATCCAGCACAGAAGCATTTTGACTAACTTTATTTACTGACAAAAATATTCACGCTTTCTTTAAGAACGATATTAAACACTTAGATTAGAGATGTAATTTAGCCAAAATGTATGCAAAACAACATTGAACCAAACTGCAGGCCCAAGTCTGCAAATTCTTACTCATAAAAGTAGTCCCACTTAAATGGGATTACTTGTGTGAATAAAGACTGCTTACATAAGCACATTAGAACACAAGCACGGCCATACTGGTCAGACCAAAGGTCCATCTAGCCCAGTATCCTGTCTTCTGACAGTGGCCAATACCAGGTGCCCCAAAGGTATCATCTTCAAATTTTGCCACCTCACTGTTTACCCCTTTTCCAGATCATTTATGAATATGTTAAATAGGACTGGGCCCAGTAATGGAATGAACAGAACAGGTAATCATCAAGTGATCTATTCCCTGTCACCCATTTCCAGCTTCTGGCAAACAGAGGCTAGGGACACCATTCCTGCCCATCCTGGCTAATAGCCATTGATGGACCTATTCTCTATGAACTTATCTAGTTCTTTTTTGAACCCTGTTATAGTCTTGGCCTTCATAACATCATCCGGCAAGGAGTTCCACAGTTTGACTGTGCACTGTGTGAAAAAATACTTTCTTTTGTTTGTTTTAAACCTGCTGCCTATTAATTTCATTTGGTAACCCCTAGTTCTTGTGTTATGAGAAGGAGTAAATAACACTTCCTTATTTACTTTCTCCACACCAGTCATGATTTTATAGACCTCTATCATATCCCCCCTTAGTCGTCTCTTTTCCAAAGCCCCAGTCTTCTTAATCTCTCCTCATATGAAAGCCATTCCATACCTCTAATGATTTTTGTTGCCTTTTCTGAACCTTTTCCAATTCCAATATATCTTTTTTGAGATGGGGTGATCTCATCTGCATGCAGTATTCAAGATGTGAGCATACCCATGGATTTATATAGAGGCAATATGATATTTTCTGACTGATTCTCTATCCCTTTCCTAATGATTCCCAACATTCTGTTCGCTTTTTTGACTGCCACTGCACATTGAGTGGATGTTTTCAGAGAACTATCCACAATGACTCCAAGATCTCTTTCTTGAGTGGTAACAGCTAATTTAGACCCCATCATTTTATATGTACAGTTTGGATTATGTTTTCCAATGTGCATTACTTTGTATTTATCAACATTGAATTTCATCTGCCATTTTGTTGCCCAGTCACCCAATTTTGTGAGATCCTTTTATAGCTCTTTGCAGTCTGCCTGTATCATCTTCAAATTTTGCCACCTCACTGTTTACCCCTTTTCCAGATCATTTATGAATATGTTAAATAGGACTTGGCCCAGTACAGACCCCAGGGGACACCACTATTTACCTCTCTCCATTCTGAAAACGGACCATTTATTCCTACCCTTTGTTTCCTATCTTTTAACTAGTTACCAATCCACGAGAGGACCTTCCCTCTTATCCCATGATGGCTTACTTTGCTTAAGAGCCTTTGATGAAGGACCCCGTCAAAGGCTTTCTGAAAATCTAAGTACACTATATCCAGTGGATCCCCCTTGTCCACATGCTCGTTGACCCCCTCAAAGAATTCTAGTAGATTGGTGAGGCATGATTTCCCTTTACAAAAAACATGTTTACTCTTCCCTAACAAATTATGTTCATCTATGTGTCTGACAATTTTGTTCTTTGCTATAGTTTCAATCAGTTTGCCCAGTACTGAAGTCGGGCTTACCGGCCTGTAACTGCCGGTATCACCTCTGGAGCCCTTTTTAAAAATTGGCGTCACATTAGCTATCCTCCAGTCATTTGGTACAGAAGTTAATTTAAATGATAGGTTACATACCACAGTTAGTAGTTGTTCATTTTCACATTTGAATTCCTTCAGAACTCTTGGGTGAATACCATCTGGTCCTGGTGACTTATTTCTGTTTAGTTTATCAATTTGTTCCAAAACCTCCTCTAATGACACCTCAATCTGGGACAGCTCCTCAGATTTGTCACCTAAAAAGAATGGCTCAGGTTTGGGAATCTCCCTCACATCCTCAGCCGTGAAGACCAATGCAGAGAATTCATTTAGTTTCTCCAGAATGGCAGTATCATCCTTGAGGGCTTCTTTAGCATCTCGATCGTCCAGTGGCCCCACTGGTTGTTTAGCAGGCTTCCTGCTTCTGATGTACTTTTAAAAAAAAATTGCTATTGCTTTTTGAGTCTTTGGCTAGCTGGTCTTCAAATTCTTTTTTGGCCTTCCTAATTATATTTTTACACTTCATTTGCCAGAGTTTATGCTCCTTTCTATTTTCCTCACTTGGAATTAACTTCCACTTTTTAAGTAGAGGCTTACATGGTTGATATCTTAAGTAATAAAGCTATTTCAGAGTAACTTTGTACAATATTATGAAATATTTATCTAAAACATCAACAGGGAGGAAATGTTTCTCACAGTTTTGCAAGTGGGTTTTATTGTTGTTGTTTAAATATTTTATGCACCATTTTAAAGTATGTCAATGTATTTATGTATTTAGTGGCTTAGATTTTTTTGCCACCCACAACAGCAAATGTTGTTGGCGCCCCCACAAGCAGCTGAGTTTCCACACACACACACACACACACACACACACACACACACAAAAAAAGCTCGAAGTGATGTGTCATGCCCCAGGAAGTTGGTGTCCAGGGCCCCTAAGACTGGCTCTGGTACTTAGGGCCAGATTCTGATACTCTTGCATAGCACCTTACTCCATGAGTTCTCCCATTCACTTCAACAGAAACAGGGTTGTATATGTGAAGCTTAATTCTGCTCAGTGTGAGTGAGAGGATCACAAGCTGGTGCTCAGAGATGTGTTGATAAGCACAGGATACAGACTGAGGGCAAGCTTCTACTCCCCTTTACTCACATTAAGTAAAACCTTGCTCCTCAAGTACAACCCTGACTTCAATGAGACTACTTGCCAAGTAAGATACTATGCAACATTAGTAAAGGAGGCAGAATCAAACCTTAAATAAATAGCAAGACTGTGATATTTGTTTTCGGGAAGTGTCTATTTTAACTTGCTCTGTATAGTAATTTTTCTACCAAACAAGCATTATGTTTCAAATATTTAACAATCTATACTGATAAAAACGGTACCTGTTCCAAAATAAATGATATAGTTTCAAGGACTAAATGAAGATCTTGCTTCTCCACTGAAAACGCAGCTTGCAGTTTTTCTTCCTCCTCTTCACTGAAACTGCTCTCAGCCTGAAGTACAAAAAAGGGTTTATTCCTGGTATTCCATCTGCCATCCAGAACTCATTCTCCAAAAGGCAAGTTTAGTTAAAACATTAAAGAGTCAGGGTTTTCTTGTGTGTGTGTGTGTGTTTGTTTGTAAATGGGAGAGGAAAAAGAAACCTTGTCAGAGGAAAAAATATATCAGTATACCAAGGGCCTGACCAAAAACCCACTCACTTCAGTGAACCTCTCCATTGCTTTTAATGGGCTTTTGATCAGGCCTTTATGAAATATGCAAACAAGTGCACACTTCTTTCTCTCTGTATATAAAAAACATGTTTGAAATTACTATGCAAAAAACTCATCTTTTGACCACATTTGATAATATGCATTATGTAGAAAAGTTACATATTTATACTTGACAATACAAACCAGTGAAAACAGTGTAATGCGCACTGGCTGGACTAGAAATAAAAGCACTAAAGAGAAGGCAAAGATGCAGTGCCCCAGATATATATGCTTCTCTTGGTTTGCTATTGACATTCCTCTGGTCTAAACACAGTCTATTTTCTTCTAAAAGACTCAATAATAAAGGTCTATTTGGGGAAATTTAGAAAACCACATACAAAAAATCAAAAATCTACAACATGACGTATTAAAGATCATTGAATGGAAAATCTTACTGAACTAATGTACTGAACGTTTAAACATAATGCAAATATTGTCATCTGTTAAAACAGAATGTTCTATGTTTTAGACATCAAACAACATAATGAGGCCAATTAGCAATCCAGTAACTGCACAGCTACTCAAAAAAAGCAATTGAGTTGTCAGAGCAAAGATGATGTAATTACAAGGAGACCTAGATGGTCAAAAATATTTGAATCTCTAACAAGAATGCAAAAATGAAAATGTTAGTTTAATCTTTGTATGAAGTGTTGTTGTAGCCACACTGGTCCCAGAGTATTAAAGAGACAAGGTGGGTGAGGTAATACCTTTCATTGGACCAACTTCTGTCGGTGAGATAGACAAGCTTTCGAGTTTACACGGAACTCTTCTTCAGTCCTGAAGAAGAGCTCTGTGTAACCTTGAAAGCTTGTCTCAGTTTAATCTTTAGCTTTTAGAAGGAAATATGAAGCTTTAAGTATCTTCGCTAACACAAGGAAGTTTATTTAAAATTTCCACCAATTCAGTGCTCTCTACAGTTAGACAACTCATGGCTCATGAAACTGGTAATGTAATACAGAGTCTTCAACCCAAGTCATTCATTCAAATCCAGTGCAGGCCAATAGTCACCAAAAATTTTATGCTTTATAATGGTAATTTAATAGTTTAGGTGACATTAAGTTAATGGCTCTTTCCCCCTGCTAGTGGGCGAATATCTTCATTCATAAATAAATCACAGTTACTATTACCAGACTCTTGTTAGTAATTTCAGCAGCAAAATCAATAATTGAATCAAAGAGATGAAACAACCCTCACATTCCTAGAGGTGGTCCCAGTAGAGCATAGTTTGAACAATAAAGGTAAATTTGTATTATTATTATTTTCAGCCACGCTGTGCTGTCCTATGTCTAGACTTCAATTTCCAATGCTATCAGTTTGGCACCTTCTATAAATTCTAAATTCTTCAAAAAAAAAAAAAAAAAAAAAAAAAATTTCATCCATCAAAAATTGGTACAATGACATGGGGAAGTTGGAAACAAATGGGCAAATATGTACCCATGCACCTGGAGGGCAAGACCAAGTTTCCGTTACTATTGTTCTCACTATTATATATTGTGCTTTTCTGTTCTCATACAACAAAAATTAATAAAAGACGTGCCTCTAATCTAATTAATCTAGCTACTAGTCTTCCTTTTCCATTTTATATAGGCCACAAATGCAGATTGTGCATAGGCTTGATTCTATTCAATCTGACCCATCTAGATTCATCCATTCCTAGCATGTACACAGAGGCACATTTTTTGACTAAATATTGTACAAAACCTAACTTAGGATCAAAAGAAATATTTCATAAAGTCAAAAGAAAACTTCCAGCAAAAACAGCGTTTGTTTGGATTTAAACATTTTCCTCTAGCTTTCCACTTGAGCACTTTTCTGATTCATTAGTGCCAGAAAGTCAATTTAACACCAGATATAAACAAAAGTGACTACTACTGACTATTCACTCTATTTTCATTGCCCAAACCGCGAGAAATGAAATACAGGCAGCCAGCATAAATGGTGAATAATTAATTATGGGCTTTATTCTCACCTCTAACATCGCAAGGGCATAAGAGGGGAAAGCCAGCTCCATCCTTCCTCCCAAACCAATGGAAGCCCCCCTGTAGAAGCTCAACAGTGGTCCAGATCCACAAATAAACAAGGCAGGGTCAAGAGGCAGCAGAACCCATATTCACTCAAATCCATTAGGCAATCCTGTGAAACCTACTGCAGAATCTACAATACCTTGTGGTTCACCGGGAAGGCAGAGGGCTGGGTGGGAGGGAGGGATTCCTTTTGATTTTGGAAGATCCCTCCAGATTCACATTTTGTAATCCCCAGGGATTTACCCTGGAGGGGCAAGGGTGGAGTATGTACAATAAAAAGGAAACTTGTGCCTCCCAATAGAAGAATTCCAAGGAAAAAGTTTCATTACATGGCATTTTCACCCTCCTATGCAAAATTAACATGAATAGAGGAGATCATGAATGCAGATTTTTAAAATACCTTCAGTTTTAATAATCCTGAGTGTTAGTACTGGTTAGAAGCACTGTTTTTAAATATTATTTGAAACCGGTGTTTCCTTTGAAAATATGCTTTGTTGATATCTCTTGCTTGACAATATTTCATAACTTTTTTTCAAAGGTTAAGGGTCACAATTGCTCAGTTTTGCTTCATAATTCTTACACACCAGAGGACATACATGTTGACACACTTGTCAAACAAAAACGTGACAAACTCCATCATACAGAATAGTACATAACAATCATGACATCCTTTACAAATAAAAAGCAGAAGAGCTTCTGCAGATTATTGTATTATAGAGCTGATCAATATCACATTCCATAATGATTTTTGTTCATGAGTTGGCAGATTTCTGGGGTTTCATCCGTGGCATTGTACAGGGTCTGTAAACATTGACATGATTTAGGATTTTAAGTATAACTTATGATTTGTAAATTAAAATTTGTAGCAACTGCATCTTTATATAAACACTGGATCTTGAGGGCTCTTTGTGCCCAGTCTTTCCTTTATGCGTCTACCAAACAAAGGTTCTATTTTATTAGATCTTTACGTTTCATCTTGCATATTGAGCAAGTAATGTCAAATCACAGAAAAAATACACTTATTTCCCCCCACAGAAAAAGTGCTTTTATTTTCCTCCACCAGAAGTACGATACTATTTGCCACTCAGAATAAAGATGTAATTCTGTGGAGAAAAAAGGGTGTACTTTTTCTGTAATTTGAAATAATGTGTATGTTAAACATGCAAGACAAAACGTAAAGATTTAAGAAAACAGTATCTTATGACCTCATTCAAAAAAGTATAAAATACACAGTAACTGACATATGCATTATAGAGTTTTAAAATTTATTAAAAAGTGAGGGCTAAGGGATTATTGTTAGACTATACAAACCTTTAGATGAAGCTTTTGAAGGATGCGGGAGAGTAATCGAGGAAATTTGCCTGGGTCTATCATGTTAATGAGCAACACTGCTTTTTTTATGCTAAATAAAATGAAAGAGATCAGGTAAGTTTCCTAATGTAAACATATTGGCTTTAAACAATGTAGTACAAATATTTTTGTTTTCTAATGTTTCACACACCAAGCACACTAGTGCTACTGGCATCTAATCCAAATGGATTTGATACTTTAAACACAATTTATAAAAATTATAAAAATTCACTGTGAGAGAAACAGAACCAGTGTCCGAGTACGGTAAGGATCAAAATAGGAATAATTCCACCCTTCAATTAAACCGAGGCAGAGCTGACGCCCTGGGTGCTTCAGCCCAGCCCACTGTATGATACTGACATGGTCTCACTGCCCCATTAGTGGAGAAACCCACATGCTGGAAACCTCAAGAGGCACAGCACTGACCCACTGGGGACACAGGCCCTGTACCCCTGGCACACTGGGGAGTTGGGGTCCCAGCCCAGATGTCCCAGCGTTTGGGGGGTCCCAGCCCCGGTGCCCCCGGCACACTGCGGAGGTGGGGGGAGGGGGTCCCCAGCCCGGGTGTCAGGCTGGGGCGAGCCGGTGACGCGGGTGCTCCCGGCTCCACCCTCCCCGCCGGGCCGGGGCTCCGCAGGCGCCGCTCTGCCGGGCGGTCCGTACCTGCCGCTCTCGGGGATGATGGGCGCTGCCATCCTGGCCGCCGCCGCTGCCTGGTTCCGCCGCCAGCGCCCGGCAACGAGGGTAGGCGGGGCGGACGGGAGCCCGGCAGGCTCAGCCGGCCCCGCCCCCAGTCCCGGGCGGCGCTATGGGCGGCCCTGGCTGGCCGGCCCCCTCCGCTAGTGACTGTCCTGATTCGCTCGCTCGCTCGCTGCCCGGCGGGAGGGGCCCGGGGCCCGCGTGGGGCCTTGGAGCTGAGGCTGCTCGGCACCCGCCGCGCTGCGGATCCCTCCGTGTCCGCTCCTGGGGGCGCGGGGCCTGCAGCGTGTTTATCCGACCCCCGACAGTCCCCGCCGCGCTACAAATAATGTGTACAACGGCCGGACAGTTTCCCTGGCAGGCACCAAAGAGCGCGGGCACGGGCCTTGCTGTGACTGGTTCCCGCAGCAGGGGCTTGTACTCGACTAGGCTGGTTTGGAGCTTAGCGTCCTGTGCGCGTGGTTGGGTGTTTGATTTCGGAGTCGGCACAGAAACCTGGCAGTCCGGCGTAGCAGAGCCAATGCCAAGTGTAAGGTAACAGCTCGGCTGTTACAGAACCTGAGAGCAGAAGGAACCGACCCAGGAGGTTTAAAAATCCTATGGAAATCTGGTATTTATACAACTAGACGCTTTTCTCAAGCCTTGAACCCGGCCCCGACACTGAAGGGGAAACTGACTATAAACCAGAGGGAAATTGACTTGAGTGGTTTTCCTTGTCCAATCTGGGGGAAATGAAAACACAGCCCATACATTTTAAAAGGCAATTGCATTCTACAAATTCTTTATATTGATCTCATCTAAGGCCTTGTTTAGATTAGGATTTAAAGGTGTGTTGCTAGAAAATGTTATCTGACACGTTCTAACTAAACCTTATTTCCCCCTACTGTTACACCTTCTTGCCAACTGTCTGAAATGGGCCACTCTCATTACCACTTCAAAAGTTATTTTTCCTCCCTGGGTATCCTGCTGTCAATTGAATTGTCTCCTTAGACTGACCTCACACTTGTTAAGGCAACTCGCATCTTTTCATGTATTTATACCTGCTCCTCTATTTTCCACTCCATGCATTTTATGAAGTGGGTTCTAGCCCACGAAAGCTTATGCCCAAATAAATCTGTTAGTCTCTAAGGCCTTGGCTACACTCGCAGATTCACAGCGCTGCCATGGCAGCGCTGTGAAGCGCGAGTGTAGTCGCGCCGCCAGCGCTGCGAGAGATCTCTCGCAGCGCTGCAAGTACTCCACCTCTCCGAGAGGAGTAGCTTGCAGCGCTGCGAGGGAGCGTGCAGCGCTGCAGGCCCTGATTACACTGGCGCTTTACAGCGCTGCACTCACTGTGCTCGGGGGGGGGTTTCACACCCCTGAGCGCAGCAAGTGCAGTGCTGTGAATTGCCAGTGTAGCCAAGGCCTTAGGTGCCACAAGCACTCCTCCTTGTTTTTGCTGATACAGACTAACACGGCTACCCCTCTGAAACTTGAAAAGGCTAGGCTTCCCTCTTGACTTTATCTCAACCAGTTTCATGTTCAGCACACACTATCTTGTCTATGGTAAACTTTTCAAATGTGTTAGTTAACGAAAACATTTTAACACACTTTTTTATTCTAGTCTAGATACAACCAAATTCACTACCCCAGTGTGGGTGTGAGGAAGTGTCTGAGTCATCATAGTTGAAATCCTGTCATTTAAAAAAAAAAATTGGTGCTCCCTAAAAGGCAGCTTTGGGGAAAGAGAAAATCATTCTCTTCTTTGGTAACTACAGTCCTGTCCCTACATCATCTCTTCACTGTTCACATCTGAACCATGCTCAACTCTTGAAATTTGAGGCTGGTGTGGAACTTTCTGTGATATGGCTGCTCAGGCCCTCCAACTCCCATTGATCACACCAGCTCCACACCATTTTCAGACCACATCTTTCTCCAGAGCTCAAGGCAGCAAGGAGATAAGCTTCAATGAATCTAGTACTTTCCACCCGACAATCTCCATTGCATCACCTCACCCAGCACCCCTCCCAACAGTAGCAACTTCAACACCTTTCATTAGCAACAAGCCCTGTAGCACTAACATAGGTGAGGGCAAACTATGGCCCGTGGGCCGGATCCAGCCCATCGGGGCTTTCAATCCGGCCCATGGGATTGCCAGTCCTGTGGCGCAGCGGGGCTAAGACAGGCGCCCTGCCTGCCCTGGCCCCATGTCGCTTCTGGAAGCAGCCAGAACCATGTCCCTGCAGCCCCTGAGGGAGGGAAGATGGGGGGGGGTGGGGCAGAGGGCTCGTGCACTGCCCTTGCCAGCAGGCACTGCCCCCCGCAGCTCCCATTGGCCGGGAAGGGGAACCATGGCCAATGGGAGCTTCGGGGGTGGTACCCACAGGCAAGGGCAGCGCGCAGTGGAGATGCCTGCCCTGCCCCACCCCACCCCACCCCCAGGAGCCACTGCTGGACATGCTGGCCACTTCCGGGGGCGGGGCAGGGCCAGGGAGCCTGCTTTAGCCCCGCTGCGTGCCGCCGCCACCCTGGAGCTGCTCGACGTTAGTGGCACCGGGCTGGAGCCTGCATCCCTAACCCCCTGCCTTGAGCCCCCAACCCCCTGCTGCACCCCACACCCCTCCTGCGCCCCAACCCCTTGCCCTGAGCCCCTTCCTGCACACTGCACCCCCCAACTCCCTGCCCCAGCCCTACATTCATGGCCCTGCATACAATTTCCCCACCCTGATGCGGCCCTTGGGCCAAAAAGCTTGCCCCACCCCTGACCTAACATCACCATTTTACCCCCACCCAGAAGCACACATGCCACCATTGAAGCAATACTTCCCAACCCACTAGCACTAAATGTATGTATGTATTTTTATTTTAAGTTTATAAAATAGGCAATTGTAAAGCCTGGGTGCATTTATTATAATAAAAAAATGAAAAAGCTGAAAATAACAGTTAAATGTGGTTGAAAAGGTTTGTGAGATATTACCAGAAAGGACTTGCCAGCAGATTGTAGAGACAATGATTTCAGAAAGAAGGCTGAAGTTGTTTGGACATGCTGTACGGATGTCAAGAAACTGTACTACTAGACAAGCCCTTGATTGGACGGCCCTTGTGGGAGGCAGAAAAGAGGAGGACAACACATGACACAGAAGAAAACCATTCAGAAAGATGCTGCTGTCATGGAAACAGACTATAACAGAGCAAAGAACATAGCATTAGACAAATGGAGGTGGAAAGATTGTGTTGCCTTGTGTCAGAAGGCACAAGAGCTTCTAATATATAATAAATAACAAAGGATTATGGAACTGGAGTCATGGCAAGAAACCATGGCAGGTGCTGGAGTCAGATGGAGAGAGGTTGAGAATCCTTGATCAAAGGAATTATTAATAATTTATGGAAAGAAATATGTTAAACATATAGAGTGAAATCATAGCCATGTTGAAGTCAATAGGGTTGAAAAACATGATAAAAAAATTGCACACCTATTCAAGTGATTTATTCATGCAATGTGATTAACAGGTCTTTTCAAAATTGTTCCACCATCTAATAGTATATCAATACCATAAATTGCCCAGCTTTGTTGCTCTAGACGTACTGCTGTAGACCTTGAAGTGACTGGGCTGTGGTGAGGCGTTTTAATCCATCTACAGAAATCTTTTGCAGGATCAGGGTCCTAGGCATTATGGCTGAGATTTTAGGGAATTTAGCTAATGAACATTGGGCTTCTAAATCCCTTGAACAGCTTTTTAAATCTCAGTCTCCATGACCACATATGCCTTACCCTTCTCAGGTATAGAATCATATATTCTGTTCTATTGTAGGCTGTGAAGCACAAGTACCAATAGACCCTTAAATACTGTTTTCATATAATTTGAACAGAAATGTTTTACAGCCTGTTCTCTTCACTCAAATATGCATAACACTGGTCTACAATTTTTGAGAAGTCGTCTGCTTCAGAGATAAAATGTGCTATTTATTATGTATTTTGATGTGCTGAATTCAAATATGACAATTAAAACAACTGATTGGCTACTGTTTCTAAGATATTTAAGTTTTTACATTTTATGTCTATGTATATTGTGTAGATAGTAGAGTTTTAATCATAAATTGTAAACCTAGGTCTTTTCATGTGTTTATGGTTGCTTTACATGATAATATTTCACCTGTCCTGTTTATGTAACACTTTAAAAATCAGCAAAAGGGTTATATAAATAAAATTTATTATGAAACAAAAGGCAAAAAACTATTCTGTACATAGTTTAGTCCTATTCAGTGTCTACTCGGCGCTTCTTGGCTTGTCTCTTGTATTCATTAAATGGAGCATCTCTTGTCACTGTCCAGCAATAGTCTGCAAGCATTGATGGGCTCCATTTGCCCTGATAGCGTTTCTCCATTGTTGCAATGTCCTGGTGAAATCGCTCGCCGTGCTCGTCGCTCACTGCTCCGCAGTTTGGTGGAAAAAAATCTAGATGAGAGTGCAAAAAATGTATCTTTAGTGACATGTTGCAACCAAGGCTTTTGTATGCCTTGAAGAGGTTTTCCACCAACAACCTGTAGTTGTCTGCCTTGTTGTTTCCAAGAAAATTTGTTGCCACTAACTGGAAGGCTTTCCATGCCGTCTTTTCCTTGCCACGCAGTGCATGCTCAAATGCATCATCTCGAAGAAGTTCACGAATCTGAGGACCAACAAAGACACCTTCCTTTATCTTAGCTTCACTTAACCTTGGAAATTTTCCACAGAGGTACTTGAAAGCTGCTTGTGTTTTGTCAATGGCCTTGACAAAGTTCTTCATCAGACCCAGCTTGATGTGTAAGGGTGGTAACAAAATCTTCCTTGATTCAACAAGTGGTGGATGCTGAACACTTTTCCTCCCAGGCTCCAGTGACGGTCGGAGTGGCCAATCTTTCTTGATGTAGTGGGAATCTCTTGCACGACTATCCCATTCGCAGAGAAAACAGCAGTACTTTGTGTATCCAGTCTGCAGACCAAGCAAGAGAGCAACAACCTTCAAATCGCCACAAAGCTGCCACTGATGTTGGTCATAATTTATGCACCTCAAAAGTTGTTTCATGTTGTCATAGGTTTCCTTCATATGGACTGCATGAC